TCCTTTATTCTAATATTATATTCATCTAATATTTTAGATGTTATGATAAAAGGTTCTAGATATATACATGAATTCACATTGACTTTAAGAGGTGTTAGATTGGTTTGAGGGAAATTTGAAAGGCACTGGTGATCAGGGAGACATATTAATGTAAACAAGTTCCTACATTAGAAAAAAAATGTACCATAAACAAGACACAAGGGTTTCTCAAAGCTCTTCAAACATAACTTTATTGACTCACCACTTGTTGGTTGTTGTTAACTTGGACAAAGTACCAATTAAGTGGTCATCACTAAAACAGATCAGTTGCTTCTTAGCCTTCAGTGGTAGGAGAAGAGAATGGCTAAATCTATGTTTAGTTTGCAAATTGGTTAAATCTTTATCATAGTTATTGGTTACCCTGTCTCATTTAAGATAATATGATATCGCGAGGAAGCAACCCGCGCATGAGAGTATAATGTCCGCTGGATCCAGGTCCTACAACAGAGTATTGGGATTAGCCATAATTGGATGGATTAAGAAATTCCACTCGATCCCAGGATTGGCAGTCGCACTATATATAACTGGAACACCTTTTCTGTGATGAGTAATATAACTGGAACAACTCAATTTTTAATTTGAGGGAAATTTTTTCACAAGGCTTGGTGCTTGGAGGACAAATTTAGCACCATAGCTTACAGCATAAGAAACATGGTACATGTAGAGTAAATACAACAATGCAGCCTTTCCAGGAACCTGGAGGATCATGGCTCTCTTAGGTTTTATCAAAATGAGCCCACACATAACTTGGGATGGGAGTCTCATTATCAGCTTTGACTTGGGATGGGAGTCTCATTATCAGCTTAAATGTAGATGAAAGACAAATTAAAGGACTGATAGTGCAAGGAGAACTGATTACAGAAGATTGGGAGTTTCTTGATTTGCCTAAATGGAGTTAAAAGCCAAATTTAAAGAAGCAGAATATGGGTTTACAAGAGCTGATAACAGGAGAGCAGATAACAGGCTAGTTGTTTTGCTTCAAAATAACAGGCTAGTTATTTTGCATGGTGCATAGGGAGCCTGCATAACATGTATAACAATGAGAAAGGAGGCCACCTAAACTTCAGGGCTACTTTTAAGACATTCTAAGAATAGTGGAGGAAGCTTGTCACACAACCCTGGCCTGAGGGAAGGGACTGTAATACCCATTTCTCACACGCCAAGGCTATTCCCATAAACTGTAAATATGGTCAAGGTGGAGGGGAAATAGTTGGGCTAGCGATCGGTTTTTCAAAGAAAATATACACGGCTGAAAATGGGGCTAAAGCCCTCCCTCCTAATGTAACTCAGATTTCATAAGGATGCCAGTGACCAGAGAAATCTAGGTTATAAGTGCCTTGCTCTTAATTGGTTTACAACAAGATTCTTTCAAGCATCTTTGGATATAATTAACGATGACCTCTTAGAAGTTTTCAGATAATTTCATATTCGATCTAAGATGATCTCGAGGTTGAATATCACTTCATTACCATAAGCCCAAAAAGGGAGTGAAGTAGATATAAGATATTTTTCTTTTTTTAATAATTAAGAAGGTAACATACTTTAGTCCTATTAGTCCAGTTGGGAGCTTGCAAAAAACTGATGGAAACGTGTCCCCTAGGAGGCTCAACAATGCAGTCATTCATAATTGACCAGATCCACAGGCTTTCTAATTCTACTGAGGGAAGCATATTCTAGAGAAGGCTTTCTTGTTCCTTGTTTTCTTCCAGTTTGTAGAATTACTAAGAAGTAAAGACGAAGCATGGGAGAAACTCAATGCGAACAAGTCAGAAGTAGAAAATCAATTGAATAAAAAACATAAAGATGTTTAGAAGTGATGGAGGAGTTGGAAGAATTTTTTTCAGGCAAATGGAATTATACATCAACCCAACAGTCCTGTATACCCCTTCACAAAATAGCATAGCAAGGAAAGAATTGAAATTTAGTTGACATGATCACACTTCTCACCACTTGCTAGTATTACATGGACAACGACATGCACATCAGCATTTAATATGTGTCGCGGTATCCAGTACACAAAGCCAAAAAGTCAAGACTTTACATCCTTACAAACAATATTGTGAATAAAACAATAATATATAATATAATTTATGATTATTTTTGCATATAACTTAACATAGCAAAGCAGTAGAATGTGTGGAGTGGTCGAGAACGAGCTCACCTTCAAGTGTTGACACACAATGACGCGTAACACCAAGCCAAAGGCAAGGTGTCTAGTGTAACACTGCTACTCGCATGGTCCGGATGTATTGACAGGACCCTTAAATTAAATGCATAAATGCCAGCAGTTTCACATTAAGTTCAAGGAAAGTAACAATGCACTCTTTGTCAATAAGACAAGTTAAGAGTAATGATGTCCCAGGCATACTTGTGCTAAGCAGCCATGAGGTGATAAGCAATCTGCTAGAACTGTTGTTCCAAATTAGTTAAGCTTATGCCAGTTTCATCCATGACAATAATTCCATGATTGCTACCTACTATTACCGAAGGAAACATGGCCCAGAAAATTGGCTAATAAACCAACATGAAGTGATTTACTACTGTCTAACCCAATACAAACCATTGAGTCTCTAAACCTGCATGACCGCTGAATACACTTCGAATCCAATTGTTATTTCATATCACTGATGCATACACCATGGTACTAATCAAAAACAAAAACCGGTCACCATAATCAAAATGCCACCAACATATGCTAAAACAACTTCGCCAAAAGTCCTCCCATGAAGAAACATGAAGTAATCATGATCACTCCATCAAACCTAGCATGACCTATTATTTATAAACCTCAAGAACCATGTTTATGGCATATTCTTAAGAGCATGGAAAGCCCTCAAGAGGCAAACGCGCCATTGACTTATCCTTCGCCATACCTTGTAAAGGAAGCAAACCGACCTTTTCATATAGCTCACGAGAAGAAATGCATTCTGCACATACATGAAAAATAGAGTCCACGTCTGCAGCAGCTACAATCATAGTCTGACTAGGGAATGTCTTGGTCATGGGGGCAGGCATCTTTTCAAATCAAACCTGCAATCCTAGAATACCCAAGATAGCTACTAGTTTTATACTGCTCAAGAATCCTTTTACCTTGAGGTTCACTTTGTAGATCCATCTATACTTGATTTCCTCTTTGCCTCCAATATGATTTCAATGAAAAGAAAATAAATCTTCATACAATGGGGCATCTTCTAAGAAGGATACAATGGGGCATCTTCTAAGAAGGCTAACATGAAGCATCAATGCAACATTTTGGCTCATACAATGAGTCATGCCTCATTACACCTTTTTTTCTCATACACAGAGTAACACATCATTACACCTTTTTGGCTCATATAGTCATATGCTAAGTCAAGAAGAAAGAAAAACACGATGAAGAGTAGCAAAGGGAACAGAACAGACAAACTGATTTGGAGATGCAGAAAATTGAGATGAACAATCAAACTGGTTGCCTGGTGGATCACAATCCAGGACCAGTTGGGACAACTCCCAATGGAAGACTTAATTCATTGAGTCATCCAATATCACATGAATTTTCCCTTGGCATGAAAGACCATAAAAGCTAATGAATCCTTACAAAGACAGGAAACATGTCATTCTAAAAGACTAATGCTATACCTCTTTTGAGTTTCCCCATACCCATTGATATATTTTGATACCAAACTAAACATGTGCTCCATGAATCTTTTGGAACAGCAGAAAAAAATGGCCAATTAAATTCATGCATGCAATATATCTTAAGTCAAAGAAGTCAGAGTGTCAACTGGTAAACTAGCATTAACAACCGATAACAGACATCTCAATATAAATGTTAAGCATGTTTCACCAAAAGATCATATGGGACATGATAAGATATTAAAAAATTAAGTATTTACAAAGTGTGCTTGTCATTTCTTCAGCAGATCTATTTGCTGCAGGGTGGACAGACAAGATTCTTGATAAAATAATCCTCTTGCAAGAGATACCTTAAAATTTATGAGATATGTATTCTCCTCTAAAATCAAAATGCAAAAATTACTCCTTTTCAATTCGAGTTTCCCCTAAAGCATAAAACAATCAGAAGACATCAAAGAACACAGAATGGGGCAGGTACCGAGCCTGAGTCATCAGACTCAGCCAAGTCTAAACAAGACATTGTTGAGTCTATAAAAGATTAACACAGGAATGATGAAATAAGTCAAGACTAGGGCAAGTCCGTAGCTTCTGGCTCGGGACTTGATTTGGTTTCTCATATATTCACACAACTTCGATCCATCACAAGGGAACTGGAAACTAGATCCAATTTCAACAACTTAGTATTAGTTTCAGAGTAATTATTGAAAACAAGATGGATTACTTGGCTTTCGACAACAGAGGGTGGTGAAATGGATTCCATATCATTAAAAATCATGTCCAAATGCTATGACTTTTCCAATATGAGTTTGAGAACACCAAATGGAGCATACTAATTCCAGTCAGTCTTTGCATGGCAATAACAGGCTAACAGAAAATGTTTCCACCATCATTTTGTTCAATACTCTCAATTCATCACAACTATCCCCTTATCAGAAGAGACACCTAAATAAACCAGCAACATCTACTGAAGGAATTCCTAAATTTATAGGAGTTAAGCAACTTAACACATAAAAAAGATTGGCGAATGGACTGAGTTCTTCACTGTGATAAGTATTAAAAGGCTCTCATTGCCAAAAAGAGAGTTGATCCCAAGTGTATTATAGATTTAAACACATTTCAGATTCACTTGCATATGGAGAAAATCAGTCCACAATCACAAACTAACCACAAACTGAGTAGGCAGAAAAAAGGAAAATTTTCTTCCAAATCAACAAAAAAAAGGAAACATTTACAGGATAATGCAACAACGGAACAAAATGGAAACAAAAGGAAAGCAGCTAAAACTAACCAGTCAAAAATCATACTCAGTAATGACCATTTAGAAAACAGTTCAAAGGCAACCAGAACTACTCCTGGATTTCATCTTTCTTCCTCTTCTTTTTCTTGTGGTGTTCGCAACTATCCGATAGCTCATCTTCGCCGTCTACTTTCCTCTTCTTCTTTTTCTTCTTCTTTCTCTCTCTTCCCTCAGACTGATCGACATCAGAAACCAACTCAGGTTTCTCCTCTTTCACAAAGCTCAGAACTTCACCGCTAACACCATCGGGAGCTTCATTTTTTGACTCTTTTCTCTCCACAAACTCTTCACTGTCAACACCTCTGCTTTTGGATTCCTCTCCTTCTCCAAATCTATCATTCTCTTGTTTTAGGGTTCTTCGTTTTGGGGTTTTGTTTCTATGCTTTGGTCTTGCAATGCTTTTGAGGGAAAAGGCAACGTGTTTCAGGGTTTCAGAGACGGAAGGATCCGCGCCAATATCATTGGAAAGGAAGAGATCGAGGATAGCAGAGGCCTTAGAGAGAGAGATGGGCTTGCATGACTCTATGGACCCGCTTATCGGGCCCATCTTCTCTCTCAAAGAAGTAATAGTATCAGGCAGTTGGGTTCAAATTCAACCCTCCAATGCCCTTTCCTTGAAGTCCACCATTGGAGGCAGTAGGGTTTCATTTGAGGTTTTCTTTTCTTCAGAGATAAATTAGGGTTTAAGATTTTAGAGGGTTTTATTGTTATGGAAAGCGACAAATCCAAAATTCTGGTAAACGTAACGACTCACACGAGGCAAGAAGATGAGGCAGGTTTTAAAACCGGATCGGTGACCCGGATCGGCACTTCAATAACCGGTTCTAATTGAAAATCGATTCAATCGATTGGATTAAAGCTTCAAAAAAAATTTAAAAAGATTAATAAAATTTATTATAAATGTTGGTTTTTAGAAATCTAATAAAAAATGAGGGTACTATATTATTAATTTTCATTTTTTCATCAATTTATGAATATTGAGATACTATTTCCCTGTATAAACTTAAGTATTAAATTTGCATCACATAAAAGAAAAGTCATAGAATTATCATAGATAAAATATATAATTATACATAGACTATAATAAAGAGTAGACTAAATCAATGAAAGAATAGCCATTAAAATCTCGTTTTGGCAAAAAACCCTAATCCATCAAAAAAACTCAAATTATTACGGCCAAACTAACTATAATCCAAAATTATTACAACTTAACTAATAATAATATTATATACTAAAATTATAATTATTAGTTTACATTTTATAATTATTTTATTAGATAAATAATAGCAAATTAAAAATATTTTATAATATTATCTAATTTAAAATGTATTATTGACAACTGTAAGAAAAATAGCAAATTACATGATTTATAATGTAAAAAATAATAAATAAAATAAAAAATTTGGTTATCAATGTAAAAATTAATAAAATACGTACAAATTTTGGAAATAACACTTCAATTTTTCAAAAATTTAAATTTTTAGGTTTCTATAATAAATTTAGTGAAAGAGATTGTTATTAGAAAGAGAGAGATTTCAAATAAAATAAATTTTTTATTTTTTATTTTTTTATGCCTTTCATATTATTTACAAAAATAATTATACCACTATATACAACAAAAATTAACTGCTATACAAAAAATTAGCTTTTTTTTTTTTTCATTTTTTTTATGCCTTTTATATTATTTACAAAAATATTTATACCACTATATACAACAAAAACTACTATACAACATATATACAACAAAAACTACAAAATATACAACAAAGACTACTATACAACATATATACAACAAACTGTAATGCCCAAGGAGATTCGACCTTGGGACAGAAAGCCAAAAACAGAAGTCATAACAATCACGTCGTCTCACTAGATGTGATTATTAGTTGCTGATTAATAGAATATATTTACATTCTTTTTTACATTTTCTCAATGTAGAAATTATTAAAATGCGTACCAATTTTCGAAATAACACTTTAATTTTTCAAAAATCTAATTTTTTCAGTTTCAAAAATCAAATTTTTTAAGGTTTCTAGAATAATCGTAGCTCAAATGCGTGCTTGAAAAGCATGATACTTGTTGTATTACTTTTTATTTATTTTTTGATAACAAATACTTGTTATATTGCCTTTTTTTCTTTTGATAGGAAAATAAGAAGACGGTACTGCCCAAGTAACTTTTATTTTTTTGCCAATGTAACTTTATTTTTTTGCCAATGTAACTTTTATTTTTTTACCAATGTAACTCTTATTTTTTTTGTCAAAACTTTTATTTTCTTGTCAGTATAACTTTTTTTTGTCAATGTAACTTTTATTTTATTTTTGTCAATGTAACTTTTATTTTATTTTTTGACAAAAATTTATTTTTTTGACAAAAATTTATTTTTTTGACAAAAAAATAAAATAAGATGGTGGCTGCCTCAAACGTCTTGAGAGGGAAACAAAAATGATAACCGACTACACCACATATCAATAGTTGTCTTATCTTGTATAATAAAAAGTTATACCATATTACGTTTTCAAGCCTACGTACCTTACTAATATCCCACATTGAAAAACCTAAAGAAGTTTGACGTCCATAAAATACTCCTTGGTACCACAATCTATCGCGTGCGTGAAAAGGTTGCCAGTCCGTCACACGTGGCGACGCTTGTACATGACTGTCACACGTGGCGACACTTGTACATGCCCGACTTACCCCTTGTTGTGATGTCATAAATATATATATATATATATATATATATATATATATATATATATA